CCCACTAAAAAAAAAGTCTAATAAAGATACCGGATTAACAACTGTAGCAATGTGGAAATGACCTGCTTGGCAGCACTTTTGAGTGTGCAATTGCTCAAGGCCCCCCCCCCCCAGACTTGCCAGTGTTCAAGAGAGTTCAAAGTTGCCACCTGCAACTGGGCAGGGCTCAAGATCCTTCCGCTCTTCCCCACCCAATGCTGCTGTTTTCCTGGCCAGAGGCCGGATGGCCGCCGAGGGGGTCCCCCTTCCTACCTTGTCTCCTTGCTCCTGAGAAATGTCCAGATGCCTCTGGCAACAAACCAAGGCTTCGTCGAACTGACCCAGGATCTTCAGGGTGTTGCCAAGATTGCCGCTGGCTTTGCCCTCTCCAATCCGATCCCCGATAGTTCTGCGGGGATCGGGAAAAGATACATCTTTGTTTACGTGCAAGCAGCTTTGCAGGTGCTTTCTATTGGGAAATTAGTTATATAAAAGCAAATGTTTCGTGCTTTAGGTACTTTGAAAAGAGCACAGTAAGGGGAGGGGGAAAGGAGTTACAGATGGAGCCTGGGTTGCTGTGTAGGAGTCATCATCTAGGAATTACCATATATTCCGGCGTATAAGGCAACCTGGCATATAAGACGACCCCCGTCTTCGGCGCCGAGTCGCATGCCTAGAAAGTCATCTTATGCGCCGAAAACTACCGTAATTTCCGGCGTATAAGGCGACCCAGTGTATAAGACAACTGCCGTCTTTGGCGCCGAGTTGCATGCTTAGAAAGTTGTCTTATACGCTGAAAACTACTGTAATTTCCGGCGTATAAGACGACTCGGCGTATAAGACGACCCCCGACTTCGGCGTTGATTTTACCGCTTGCGAAAGTCGTCTTATACCCCGGAAAGTACGATATTTTTTTGTGCCATCTTAGGCCTGGTACCAAGACCTGATCTCTTTGTTCTGAAAAGGTATAAAAGGTGGAAGACATCTTTCCTGGCTGTTGCCTTCGTCTCTCTACCAGCCACGAAGAGAGATGGGGTCACCCAACTCTGTTTTGATCAAAATAAAAGTTGTTTGCTTGCTGAAACCTCGGCTCAGGAGTTTCTTTGGCTCTTTTAAACTCCTGAGTAATGCTGGGACGATTGTGAGGCTAAGTGGGAAACCTTACAGTATCTTAGCAAAACTATCCAAAGGAGAAGAACTGAAAACATTGGGGGGGGGGGTTTTCTCAGCAGCTACACATTTGTATGGGTGGGTTAAAAGATGAAATTAAGGCAGTGTTTCTCAACCTTGACCATTTTAAGGCACGTGGACTTCAAAAAAGATTCAATCAGTCAATTTCAAATAATAAAAAGTTCTTGCAAAGTTGGAATTGATTGAACTTTTTAGTCCCACCCAGTCTGCCGTTACCACTGCAGCCACGCCCACCCAATGGACCACGCCCACCCAATGGGCCACACCCACCCGGCACTTGACAATGCATAAGTGGGTTTTGGGTTGCAGTTTGGGCACTCGGTCTCTAAAAGGTTCGCCATCACTGAGCTAAGCTATCAACAGATTCACCTTCTTGACTGTTTCTATTTTTCTTCCTTCATTTTCCCAGCCTCCTCACACCCTTTTCTCTCTCCCAGAGATCATGTCCCTTTCTTTTCCAGTCCAACCCCACCACCCCCAAAGAGAAAATCAGGACATTGAACATTCTGGTTTTTTTTTTCCTGGGGTGGACTTTTTGCCAACCTGGCATCGCTCAAACGCTGCAGCCCCAGATTTGTTTTCTCCTTCCTTTGTCCAGAGAGCCCAATTCTGGCTGCAAAGCTCTTACCTGGCCAGCGTGAGATCGTGCTTATGGTATTCCAAAGCTTTGGCATAGTCCTTCAGGTAGAAGTAGGCGTTGCCCAGTTGGCTGTAAATGGCACTGAGGGTCTTCAGATCCTCTGTCCCCACCTCGACTGCGTGTTCGAAGAAAGCTGCTCCGGAAGGGAAATCCCCCGCCTTGCACGCCCGCTCTCCTTCCAGGGCCAATTCCAAACACGAAGCCTCCATCCTCCTAGCAGAAACAGACAAACAACCTCGGTCAAAACACCACTATCTGCACATTCTCAGCTTGTGCCAGAGAAGCTGTCTGTGTGTCAGAATCCAATGATATTTCATCTCTAGTTATCGACTACGGAAAACCCCATTTCTGCCCTCTCTGGATTCTGTCATACTACGAAGGGGAAGGGGGATGAGCAAAGGGGTTTTATGGCTCTCACTTCCTTCATTAGAACTTCAAAGGGACTGAATGTGGATTCTCACCAAGAGGACTGACTGTAACAATATGGCCATCACCTTTCATCTACTACTCTCTGAATTCTCCCTTCTGCCGGACGTGACGAAAAGGGGGTGGAAATGTAACGCCTGGGATCGTGGCTGGAAGGATGGTGGGGTGGGGGCTGCTTGGGACCCCTTAAAACCTTGAAGGGTAGGGGTTGGCCCCTCAGATCCTGTCTAGAACGCCGCTTTATTTTGAATAAAACTTTGTTGCTGGAATTCCAAGCGAGTTCGTTTGTTTTGGGATCCTGAGCCACGTTCCAAACACACTCTCTCATAGCCCAGCCCACCTCACAGGGTTGTTTTGGCAGAAAAAGGAGGAGGGAAGAGTACTCGATCTGCTCGCCGCTTTGAGTTATATGCAAAGATAATGAAGGCAAAGATATAAATAAACTTTTAAAAAATGCACAACGTATGATTTGTTCAGGCCACAATTGGCCTTAAATATAATCCCAAACCGATGATCCTAATTTGGAAGCCATCACGGTTGGTTCCTTAGGACAAGCCAACAAGCAGAGCAAAACAAGGGACGCCCTGCAAATTCAGCCACTTCCTGACATTTCAGAGTTTGGATAGAGTTGCGAAACTTTTTCAAAGTCTCATGCCCAAAACCTCACTGGACCAAAATTACTTTGTTCCAGGACAACATCCATCGCTATTTATATCTGGTTGTAAGCGCTGATTCCCAATTCTTTAGCTCCTTTTCTTGGGGAACAAACCGCTGTCTTTGCCACCTGCCTAGCTGAGGATTATGGGAGCTGAGGGCATTTGGAAGGTGAGCATGGGAAGGCTGGGTGAAGCTCTTCCCTCAGTTTAGGTGGGACACAGCTCCATAAATAGGACTTTAAAAAATGACTTTAAAAAGAGGCAATATTATTTCTCCCAGTGTCAGGTAGGCTAGAGAGATGAAGTCAGCTCAGCATGGATAATAACCACATTCCTTTTTTAAATTTGGTTTGATACACACCCAGCCGTTTCGCTGTGTTATGAAACTCTCAGTATTCTTAGACTGGAAATTCTGGACACCAGTATCTAAAAAAACATCTGTATATAATAATAATAATAGTAGTAAAGTTGGAAGGGACCTTGGAGGTCATCTAGTCCAACCCCCTGTTCAGGCAGGAAACCTTACACCATTTCGGACCAATGGCTGTCCCGTCTCTTCTTCAAAACTTCCAGTGTTGGAGCATTTACTGTTTCTGGAGGCAGGCTGTTCCACTGATTAATTGTTCTCACTGTCAGGAAGTTTCTCCTTAGTTCTAGGTTGCTTCTCTCCTTGATTAGTTTCCACCCGTTGCTTCTTGTCCTGCCTTCAGGTGCTTTGGAGAATAGCTTGATTCCCTCTTCTTTATGGCAGCCCCTGAGATATTGGAATACTGCTATCATGTCCTTCTCTTCGTTAAACTAGACATACCCAATTCTAGCAACCGTTCCTTATATGTTTTAGCCTCCAGTCCCCTAATCATCTTTGTTGCTCTTCTCTGTACTCTTTCTAGAGTCTCAACATCTTTTTTACATCTGTAAGGTTCTACACCAGGCAAGGAGGGTCAAAATCACTAGTTCCAACCCCAGAACATCTGAATATACATGGACAAATCTCTGCAAGCCTCTATCAGGTTTTTGTCCAGGAATTGTGGAAAATCACAGACACCCTCCATCTGATTCTGTGGGAAGTCAGCCCCCCCCCCCAGAGTCATCTTGGAACTGTTGAAAGGACTGTGTTGAAGACTGGAGATAGATGATGTCATCAACCCAGTCCTTTCAACAGTTCCAAGATGACTCCACACCCATTTGCACCACTCAGATGACCCAGATGACCCAGAGGAACCTCCAGGTGGCCTCAAGGTCCCTCTAAAAGAATGCAAATAACCAGCAGTCTGCAAGGAGTATAAATCCTTCCACTCCCCATCATCCAGCCAGAGCTGAAGAAATTTCTTGGATGAGAAGTGAAACTTCTTCCAAGGAAAAACAAGAACGTCCAGGTGCCTCCTGAAAAAACATCTTTGGGACAACTGTGTCCTAGATGACGGAGAATCTCCACAGACATCTTCCTTCGGGGATCACAGAAAGCAAGAGATCCTGGAGATTATCTAGTTTAGAGTGTCTCAGCCTTGTCAACCTTAGGAGGTGTGGGCTCCTTCTGGGCGTTGAAGTCCACACAACCCAAAGTTTTGAAAAACACTGATCTAGTTTAACACTCTGCCCAGGCAGGAATCCGCCGTGGCTGTGAATAACAAAAAGTGCCACAAATGGACTTTGACAACCAAAGACCAACATTTTTCCATCACGATAGTCGGGCGGTGCTGCTGTCATGTTCTCAGTAGCTTTCCACAATGTCCAACTTCTCCCGGTTTTATGCTCCCAAGGATTTCCAAAGATGACTCATTTCGCACTGGATTCAGCCATTTCATCCTTGAAAAGAGTTTGGGATTGGGAACATATGATATGCTCTTCACTTGCCCCTCCTGAGACATCAAAAAAAACCACCACAATTTAGCAGTGGCTGTCCTCCTGGACCAGCGCTTAGCTCAGACAGCTGCATGGTCAGCCTTGAAGAAGGGAGCGTCTGTTGCAACAGGCTCTTCTTCCTCCATAACGTTTATCTTGTTTATACGACAATTTAGGCTTTGACAAACATGCATCTCTTTCACCCTGCATTCTTGGAGCAATTCAGGAGAAACACAATGACCTTCGTCAACCAGTGAAACTGGAGGTTTAAACAACGCAGAGAAGGGAAAAAAAGCCACGTCTGGGGAAAAAACCCATGGAAAAAACAAGCCACTGTATTTACTCAAGGCCGTGAGGCCAACGGGAGGGAGCTGGGGGATGATTTGGCACAGCCGGTGGTCTCTTGTGGGCTGAAACTTGATTACACGCTCTGCTGATGACCAACTGCCAGAGAACAACCTGGCGATCCAAGAACAACAAGAAAAGAGAAAACAAGCCTGGAGAACCAGCCACGTTTCATGTGGCTGGACGTGGCATTGTGTGGCATTGCCAAGACATGAAATGGTATAGACAGGGTTTCCTGCCTGAGCAGGAGGCTGGACTAGAAGACCTCCAAGGTCCCTTCCAGCTCTATTCTATTCTAAGGACTAGGGGAGACACGATAGCAGTATTCCAGTGTTTGAGAAACGGGTGTGTGCGTGTGTCAATTTATTCTCCAAAGCACCAGAGGGCAGGACAAGAAACAACAGAGGGAAACTCATCAAGGAGAGAAGCAACTTGGAACTAAGGAGAAACATCCTGACAGTGAGGACAATTAAGCAGTGGAACAGCTTGCCACCTGAAGTTGTAAAGTGCTCTATCACTGGAGGCTTTTAAGAAGAGACTGGGGTCCCTTCCAGTTCGATTCTGATTCGAATTCTGAGTGTAGCCATCGCTTCTCCGCCCTCAGAGGCCAGCCTTCCTGCAGGGACCCCCACGACATCTGTGCCTCCTGCAGCATAAAGTCTGCTTGTTCCCACTCTCACCGGGCGCCATTTTGCAGTGACGTCCCTCTTTCTTGCCGTGAGCAGGGCAGAAACACCAACAGCTTCTAGGGAATTCCATTTAGCAAGAGCTCCACGCAGGTAGTTCTCAACTTATGACTGCAACGGAGCCCAGAATTTCTGTTGTCAAGTGAGGCATTTGTTAAGACAAGTTTTGCCCCCATTTTACAACCTTGCTTTCCTCAGTTAAGTGAATCGCTTGCAGTTGATAAGTCAGTAACCCGATTGTTAATGAATCTGGCTTCCCCGTGGACTTTGTCAGAAGTTTGGAAAAGTGACGCCCAGGGACTCTGCGACCCGTCATAAATACGAACCACTTGCCAATCGTCTGAGTTTTGATCACGTGACCACGGGGATGCTGGAAATGTCGTAACTGTCATGGTTCCGACAGATGAAACTCTTCCAAGGATTTTGAGGCATTGCTTACCTTAAAAGAATCCTTATTCGAGTAGCATAGCATTGGCACGTACACAGGCCAAGCCAAAATCTGAATTCCCCTCCCCTGAGCACACAGTACCAAAGCACAACTCCCTCTTGTAATTTACAGTCATAAATCACATTCTCCAATTAGCTTGAAATGCAGGCTTTCCCTCCAGTTCTTCAACCCGGCCATTTCTTATCATCTCTTATTTCAAAAAAACCTTGGTTCTCACCCTAGTTACAATATTGTTCTGTCTAACTAAACTCCCATGGACCTTCCTCCTCCCTCCCCCAATATCATCTAATTCTAACTCTAATTCTAAGAGTAAAACATAAGAAGGAAAATGGCTGCATCTCCATATGTTGTCAAAGCAAGAACGTCCGATGTTAGCAGCGTTGACAGTTTAAGTGTGAAAAATGGTTATAAGTCATCTTTTTCAGAGCCGTTATAACTTTGAACAGTTGCTAAATGAACTGTTGTAAGTCAAGGACTTCCTGTATGCTGAAAGGGGGGAAAACGTGGGCAGGGGGGATGGAAAAACGAGTATTTGTGCCCAGAGAGAGGCTGATGTGGAAGTTGCACAACATCAGGGCACAAAAACTGAAGAATCAATATATCTTAACACTCATCCTCCTCTACTCTCCAAATATTCTGTTTACCCCGCAAGTAAGCCACTGCAGGATCTATCAAAGAACCAGATCCAATTTGGGCAACCACTTGTGATGGCCAGTTGCTCCAGGGATCAAAAATAGACAACATTCCAGTTGGGAGCCAAGGAAAACGCTTGGTCACTGCAGTGTGGTTAGAAATGAGACAAAAATCTGTGTTCTATGCCTTTTTGGGTCTTCAGATATACTATTTTTTTTTTCCTTTTGGGAGGAGCTGATGATATTTTAAACCTCTGGCTCAGGACAAGTGCTGAATTACAGTTCCCATTATCCCCCACTGGGCCAGGACTGCTGGGAGCTGAATTATATGGAAGGTTTGAAAAATCAAGGCTGGGAGGATCAGCACAGCCCCGGGCTTTCGCTGCAAAAACCTTTCATTTCGCAACCCAAAGTAGAACGTTGTGAGTCAACAACGCTGGCGTCCCTTCCTCAAATGCCACCAGGAACCCACTTTCCTTCCAACAAGCCAACATTATCAGGGCTTCGTCCTGCGGTGGGACTCCAGCATGTTTTGACAGCTGCAACACAGTCTCGCTGCAAAATCACGCAGTTTCCTTGGAATTGCAAGGAAATGGTTTTGCCAGAGCTTTCCTCTCAGATGTATTTATCAAGATCTCTAGACTCTCCTAATGGCCTCCCATCCGCTGGGTCCGATTCTGCTTAGTTTTACCGAGCCTTTAGTAAATATAAATATGAAGCAGGTCCAAATTTCAATTTGCTCGTATTTTTGCTGGAAATGTACTTTACACTCAAGGCACTTAAGATGGTTAAGCGCATCAAACATGCATTTATAGGGCTGGAAGGATCCTCAGAGGTCTTCTAGTCCAGCCACCTGCTCAAGGCAGGAGACCTTATACCATCCCAATCAAATGGTTCTCACAACACAGGCCAGACAAGGAATAATGGATGGAAACTGATCAAGGACAGATTCAACCTGGAAATGAGGAAAAAATTCCTGACAGTCAGAACAATCAACCAGTGGAACAGAAGTTGCCTTCAGATGTTGTGGGAGCTTCATCACTGGAAGTTTTCAAGAAGAGACTGGACCGCCATCTGTCAGAAATGGGGGAGGGTCTCCTGCTTGGGTGGGGGGTTGGACTAGATGACCCTTCCAACTCTGTTATTCTATTCTATTCTATTCTATTCTATTCTATTCTATTGCATATTCTATTCTATTCCATATGCTATTCTATTCCATTCCATTCCATTCCATATTCTATTCCATATTCTGTTCTATTCTATTCTATTCCATATTCTATTCCATATTCTATTCTATTCCATTTTCTATTCCATATTCTGTTCTATTCCATATTCTGTTCTATTCCATATTCTATTCTATTCTATTCTATTCTATTCTATTCTATTCTATTCTATTCTATTCCGTATTCTATTCTATTCCGTATTCTATTCCATTCCATTCTATTCCATATTCTATTCCATATTCTATTCTATTCCATTTTCTATTCCATATTCTATTCCATATTCTGTTCTATTCCATATTCTATTCTATTCTATTCTATTCTATTCTATTCTATTCTATTCTATTCTATTCTATTCTATTCTATTCTATTCTATTCTATTCTATTCTATTCCGTACAGGATTCCAGTCTTTGAGGGGCTATCATCACAAAGAAGAAGAGGGGGGGTCCATTTATTTTCCAAAACACCAGGACAAAAAAACGGATGGAAACTAATCAAGGAGAGAAGCAACCTGGAATTAAGGAGAAACTTCCTAACGGTGAGGACAATTAACCAGTGGAACAACCTGCCTCCAGAAATCGTGGGTGCTCCATCACTGGAGGCTTTTAAGGAGAGTTTGGACAGCCATTCGTCCGGAATGATATAGGGTCTATCATTCCGGACGAATGGCTGTCCAATCTCTCCTTAAAAGCCTCCAGTAGGGGTTTGGACTAGATGACCTCCAAGGACCCTTCTAACTAAATTGTTATTTAACAATTTTAAGAAGAGACTGGACAGCCATTTGTCCGAAATGGTGTAGGGCAGTGGTTCTCAACCTGTGGGTCGGGACCCCATTTGGGGTCGAACGACCATTTCACGGGGGTCGCCAAACAAGGCTGTCCGCCATTTTTTCCCCCTTTTCTTTGGCCACGCCCCTGGCACCCCGTGATGTATAAGTGGTTGGGGGTCACCACAACATGGGGAACTGTATTATGGGGTCGCGGCATTAGAAAGGTTGAGAACCACTGGTGTAGGGTTTCCTGCCTGAGCAGGGGGTTGGACTAGATGACCTCCAAGGTCCCTTCCAACTTTACTATTATTATAATTTAGGTGCTAAAGCCTAACTGCGCACAATCAGGAAATATGCACGCCTGCCTGTGGGCAACGCCAGCCTGAGATGTGCCCGGCTTGCTAAAACTGCTACAGAAATGCTAGGGGGAAAAAAAAAACAAGCTGGCCGTCTTCGCACGTTAGCTGGGAAGGCGTCCCATTAACTCAGTTTACGACTCCGCGTAGGATCCTGTTAAAAGGGAACCAAGGGGGTCCCCCCCCCAAGCTGTGCCCGACTTGAGGCTGGCCAAACCCAAACCCGACTCTCCCAACAGACACTGAAAGCCCACCGACCCCCTCTAAGGGTGGGGTCCTGCCCCCACCCCTCTTCCGGCCAGGACCCTGTTGGGTGGGCTTCTCACAACCCAACACCCGGGTGGATAAACCCAACAGGTCCATGTCCAGCAAGACAGACTGGGACTCTGGTGAATGACTGGGGTCCCCCCCCTCTGACCCAGCACTGGGGGGGTCAGCTCCTCTCCGCCCCCCCCCCTTGCCCTGTCTGAGCCCCTCCGCTCTGCCTGATCCGGACCCTGCAGCGCTGGGGACGGCTGGCATAGCGCAGGCGGCGCCAGGGCCAGGTGGGACCCCGCAAGAGCATCTAGCCGGCCTCTCCCCCTCCCGACCTCCGTGCCTACCTGGACTGCGGGCGTCCGTCGCTCGCCCACCGGAGGGGCGCCCGGCTGGCCATCCGCGCTGTCTGCGCTCCACACTGCTGGGGGGGGGGGTCGTCTGGCCACGCCCCTGACTGTGATGTCAGCGCCGCTCTCCGCCCCCAGCCCCGCGCGAGAAGGGCCCCTCCCTCGGGGGAGGAGAGGCTGCCCGGATCGGCGGGGGGGGGAAAGAAATGAAGGGGCTGGGGAGGGGGGGGGTCTACCCGCCTTGCTCTCCTCCAGCCAGAAGGGGCGCGGACCCCCCCCACGCAGCCCCGTTGGCACCCCTGCTTCGTCGCCTCTCCATCCCTCCCCCTCCCGCCTTCATGAGGACTTGGAACTTGTTCTCCTGCTCCAGATTGTCCCGCCGCCTCCGCGCAGCGCAACCAGCTGCAAAAATCCGACCGGCCAGCGGGAGGGGCTTGACTGGGCTTGCGAGGAGGAAGCCAGCTGGGCACGGAGGTGGAACCGACTAGACCTGGTTTTCCATTGCCTCGTTCCTGGGGTTCCCAGACAGTGGCTGGCCCCAGTTGGCTTTGTGCCCGACTCAGCGTCCCCCAGTTGCCCGCCCGATGCCAAAGTAGCTCGGGTCATATCCCTACAATCCGCTTTAACCAGGTCACTTCATCAACTGTTGCATCCACACGTTTAAACCACGGGTTGTTGAACTTGCTGGCCTACAAGCCAGGGCAACTGTGGGAACCCCCGAAGTACATTAGTTCAGCGGAGACAAGCTGAACAATATAGTCCATAACAGAAATAAGCCAGGAACACACTTCTCCCGGCAAGCACCACGTTCACACCACCCACACACCAGGCTGGAGGGGGGGGAACCTCCTTGCAGCTCCGTGTGTGCACCATTTGCTAAGTCTAGGGTTCTTTGGCACCACTGCGCAACTTCCCCGGATGGGTTAAATTCCCCACCCTGGTTAAGAGGAACACAAGATAGTTACCCTAGTTGGGTTGATGCGACTCGCTCTTAAAATTCAGAACCAACTGTGGGTCACGTCGGCCCGGGATGCTTGTGAAAACCGCTGCAGAAATGCCTGGGAAACATCAGCTGTGAAGGGGGCCCGTTCAGTCCACCACTAGCCAAGTTAAAGAGACCCCCACGCTGGCACGACCCATCATGGTTAATGGGGCTTGGCTCACCCTGCTCCAGTCTGCAGGGCAGAGAGGACCTTTACTCCCACCTTACTCACCTCTCCAAAGACAGGAGCAGAAATGCTGGTGTTGCCTCAGCTCCTCCTTCTTCGGCTTCACACAACCCCTGACACCAGGATGAAGGAAACCTGGCTAGTTTTCTCCCCCCCCCATGCCCCATTTCCTCCCCCCCGCGAGCGCCTCAATGCCCAGGGACACCCCCCCAGCCTCACCTGGACTGCGGGCGCCTGGTGCTCGCCCCCCGGAGGGGCTCCTGGCCGTCCATCCACCCTGCCTGCCTGCGCTGCCCGGGCGAGGGATAGTTGGCATGGGACCCGCCCTCGACTGTGACGTCGGCGCCCCGCCCCTGCCCCGCCCCTCCTTAAGGGGCTGTCCAGATCAGCTGGAAGAGAGGGAGGGTCCGCCTCCTTCCTCCCCCCCCCATCAGTCCTTCTTCCCCCCCCCCAGAAGCCGCCTTCATGAGGACTGGAAACCTGTCCTGCTCCACCAGAGCCAGGCTTTCCTGCCCACCTCTGTGTGGCAGCGCAGCCAGCTGCCAACATCCGCTCAGCCAGCTGGGATTGCCCGGCCTGCAGCAGGTCGTGAGAATGGCCCACAGGTGGAGCTGGCCTGGAGACCTGGGCAAGGTTTGGGCGGAAAGTGTGGGGGGGTTGCCGTTGCTTCCTTCCGGGGGCTCCGACGGAGCGGCTGGCCCCCAGGTCAGCCAGGGGCTTGGGGGTCCAACTCAGGGACCCCCCCAGTTTCTTGCCCGACTCCATATCACAAAAAAAGATGTTGAGGCTTTGGAAAAAAAATCAGAGAAGAGCAACTAAGAGGATCCAAGGCCTGGAGGCTAAAATATACGAAGAACGGCGTCAGGACTTGGGCTTGGCCAGTCTAAAGAAAAGAAGAAATAGGGGAGACACGATAGCAGCGTTCCAGTATCTGGGGGGCTGCCACAAGGAAGAGGGGGTCACGTTATTCACCAAAGCACCAGAGGGCAGGACGAGAAACAATGGTTGGAAACTGATCAAGGAGAGAAGCAACCTGGAATTAAGGAGAAACTTCCTGACAGTGAGGACAATCAACCAGTGGAACGTCTTGCCTCCAGAAGTTGTGGGCGCTCCCTCACTGGAGGTTTTTAAGAAGAGACTGGACAGCCATTTGTCCAAAATGGTGTAGTGTCTCCTGCTTGACCATGGGGTTGGGCTAGATGACCTCCAAGATCCCTTTCAACTCTTGTTATTCTGTATCGTAGGTCTCTACGGTCTGCCTAGTGTGAGCATGGATATCCCTGGATAGTGAGGTGGGCAATATATAAATTTAATAAATAAAGACCCACTTGTATTTCTCTGCATTAGCTGCTGCTTTAAAATAAAGCAGAATTAACTCTTTCAAGACTGTTTTGGAGCACAGCCATGTGGATCAGAGCATCCCCTTCAAAATCCTGCACCCTTTTACAAACTCCTCTACTGACTTGATAATTAACAGACTACCTTACAGGATTGTTGTAAACACTGTAGATGCCCGTCATGCTAAACCACAGCTGGAGTTCTTGTGGGTTGTTCGCAGCTGGCTTAGGCAAGAGTGAGAATGGGGCTGTCATAGTTTGTTCAATAATTGGGTTTTTAAAAAATAAACCTGTAAGCTATAAGCTATGCAGAAATGCCTTATAAAGATAGCATGAAAATTTAATAAATAAACAAATCCGTGCCAGATATCAATGCTGCCGTTCTATGGTGGAGTTTTGCATCAGCAAAACGTATTATGTTCCTCTTTTTTGCATAAGAAAGTATCTCTTTTTTTAAAAATTTTCTTCTTTACCTGAGCATCCTGTTCTCTGCTGCATTTTCCCACATCTGCTGCCATGGAAACAGCATCCTCTGGTCCATGCAACTGACATCTAAACTGTGGAATTCTGCAGAGTTTTTTTTTTTTCTTTTGACATTGCCAGGGGTGAGACCTTCTCCTTCAACCCCCCACCCCCAGCCCCAGAAGTTCTGTGCCATCAAGGATCCATCCCGGTTCCCTGCTTCTGAAAGGAGCCAAGGAAAACAGGCCCTCTTTAAACCATCTTCGCCTCTTTAGTTAGAAACAACCACAAGACAAATAAGCCCACTGCGTAATTGGGAGCGTCATGGTGAAAATGAATAATTCTGTGTAGCGGGTTGGGTTAGATGACCTCCAAGGTCCTTCCAGCCTTATGACCCTATAACTGTGTGATTACAGCGACCTACGACTGACAATTTGGTCCTACATTGCACTGTTTATAAAGCAGGTTACTACGTGACTATGTCCAATTACCTTTTTTTTTGGGGTGTGGTGGGTTGTTAAGCAAGTGTGGCCATCATAAAACAAATCCATTCTTCACTAAGGAGCAGGTTTTGCCAGAAATTGTTTTTCCAGCAATAACACCGTAAATTGTGGTCATGTGACTGTGGGGCATCGCAAATGGCTGTAAATGAACCGAGGTGGCGCAGCAGTTAGAATGCAGTACTGCAGGCCACTTTAGCTGACTGTGTTCAGCAGGTCAGCGGTTCAAATCTCACCGGCTCAAGGTTGACTCAGCCTTCCATCCTTCCGGGGTAGGTAAAATGAGGACCCAGATTGTTGGGGGCAATGTAATATATATATATACATTGCTTACTGGTGTACACCGCTTAGGGAGTGCTTGCACTTAAAGCGGTATATAAGTCTCATAAATAAATAAATAAATAACTGTGGGACGGTGGATGAGTGTCCAAAATGTGGTCATGTGACTGGGGGGAGGGATGGCACTTATTATGTCTAGTCCTGGGCTAGGCAACTTTGGCTCTTTTATGACTCGTGGACTTCAACTCCCAGAATTCCTGAGCCAGCCATAAATTGAGGGGGTCAATTTATTTTCCAAAGCACCAGAAGGCAGGACAAGCAACATTTATCCTGGGACACGTCTATTTGCCTTCATTCGTCCTCAACAATGCCTGGGTAAGGTGTGACAACAAACTGAGTCATGAACACTTTTTTCCATACCTGGTAAGAAAGGATGCTGGAGCTTGGTGCCGATCCTGGCGCTTCTGCTGAGCCCAGAAGAAGCGCCGATCAGCTGGAAAGCAGCACTGATCCTGAGGCTTCTGCTGAGCCCAGAAAAAACGCCAATCAGCTGGAAAGCAGCGCTGATCCTGGTGCTTCTGCTGAGCCCAGAAGAAGTGCCGATCAGCTGGAATGTTGCAGCCTCTCCAGGGTCTTGTGATTTACATTCAGATGCTTGGCAACTGATTCATATTTATGACGGTCACAGTGTCCCAGGGTCATATGAAATGACCAAAACCTGCTGCAACCACCCAGCAGATGGGGGGGGGGAATAAAAACCAAACACCCCCACCCCACCCCCACTGCCAATCCTCAACAAAAATGCTCACAACAATGAAAACCTCGGACAGAAGGAAGAGCACCGCTGGGTGGGCAGGCAGGAGTCTTGCTCGGCTGTGGCTTGGGGAGCACTTTTTTCAGTGCCATTGTAACTTCGAACAGTCACTAAGCGAACTGTTGTAAGTCGAGGACTACCTGTAGTTTATCGCTTTTTTCCTTTTTTTTTTTTTGGTCATCAAGTTTTTGACACCTTGCTAGGCGACGGGTGGTCCTCAGATGTTGCCGTATCCTAAAAGTGGTACAATGGGAGAAAAGGTTGAAAAGCCCTGGACTAGATGACCTCCGAGGTCCCATCCAGTTCTGTTCTGATTAAAGCCACGGTGAGCCACTGAATGCTGGGCTGGCTGAGTTTCCCGTCTCCAGGTCTGTACTGAGGCCACGGAGAGAACCCACTTGGCAGTTTGTCCGTTCCTGCCAATTTCTTGCTCCTTCTCCGTTCTGCCAAGCATCAAAAATACCATTTTTTGGCAAGCCGGGCATGTGTTTAGTACACACAGCTGCTGCCAGGGAAAACATTAATCAGAAGCTCTTTCACTGCCAACCACCCAAAGAGTGGCAGTGCCCTGAAATGCACCATATGTTCTCCCTGGGAAAATCCGACAGAAAGGAAAAAAGGAGAAGGAACAGCGGTAATTGGGGGGGGGGTCAAGGGGCAGGGCACAGGGGTTCCAGAGGACGGCTGTTTACAATAGCCTTGTGGATTTACGCAGGGTCGTAACGATGGGCTGGATCTTAAGTCCCATTCGAGGCTGCAGAGGATCTCCTTGATTTTTTGGAATAATAATAATAATAATAATAATAGTAGTAAAGTTGGAAGGGACCTTGGAGGTCATCTAGTCCAACCCCCTGCTCAGGTATCTCACTGAGTTGGACTCGTGATTGTGTCATCTTTGATTTCCTAGAAAGCCACCAATTGCAAAGGTCCACAATTTATTTATTTATTTATTTATTTATGAGACTTATATACCGCTTTAAGTGCAAGCACTCCCTAAGCGGGTGTACACCAGTAAGCAATGTATATATATATATATATATATTTACATTGCCCCCAACAATCTGGGTCCTCATTTTACCTACCTCGGAAGGATGGAAGGCTGAGTCAACCTTGAGCCGGTGAGATTTGAACCGCTGACCTGCTGAACACAGTCAGCTCAAGTGGCCTGCACTCTAACTGCTGCGCCACCTCGGCTCCTGAATAAAGAGCAATAAGCTCTTTATTCAGCTTAAACGTGTGTGTCCAATGACACTTGGCCAATAAAGAAATTCTACTCTACTCTACTCTACTCTACTCCATTCCGTTCCATTCTATTCTAGAGTTATTTTGGACTTTACAGCCTCTTCTGTGTCAAAGACTTCAATGGTTCTGTAAGGTCACAAAGCGAAGTCTCTGTCCAGCGGATTATGCAACAGCTAAAGGTGGATGCCATTTATTTGCGTCACTTACATTGAGATTATTTTGGCAAAAGAAGGGTACCTCTACTTTGGCTGCAACAGGAGGACTTTGTTTGCCTTGTCCGTCTCTGAATCTGAAATTTGAGGTGCAGGTTGACCAGATCAGAACAATTCTTGAACTGTATTTTATGGCCACGATCTGCATTTTTATGACAAGGCAGTTTCTGGCTCCTTCTCTCTCTTTCAGGAAGGGAAGGAATGGAATAAGAGTTGGAAGGGACCTTATAGGTCATCTAGTCCAACCCCCTGCTTAAGCAGGAGACCCTCCACCATTTCTGACAGATCCAGCGATGAAGCTCCCACAACTTCTGAAGGCAATCTGTTCCATTGGTTGGTTGTTCTCACTGTCAGGAAATTTCTCCTTATTTCCAGGTTGAATCTCTCCTTGATCTGTTTCCATCCATTATTCCTTGTCTGTCCTTCAGGTGCTTTGGAGAATAGGTGGACCCCCTCCTCTCTGTGACAGCCCCTCAAATATTGGAATACTGCTCTCATGTCTCCCCTGGTCCTTCTCTTCACTAGACTAGCCATGCCCAGTTCCTGTAACCGTTCATAGTTTTAGCCTCCAGTCCCATAATCATCTTCTATTGGCTTTTGAAAGCCAATAGAATTAGACTCTACTCAAGAAAGTCTATTCTATTGGCTTTCAAAAGCCAATAGAATAAAAGGGAGTAGCACAGCTAAGGAAAAGGGGGGAAACAATGGCGGACTGCGTTGTTTGACGACCTTCGTGAAATGGTCATTTGACCCCAAATGGGGTCCCGACCCACAGGTTGAGAACCACTGTTCTAAAGTCTCAACATCTTTTTTATAGTGTGCAGACCAAAATTGGTTGCAGTATTCTAGGTGTGGTCCTACTAAGGCAGAGATGTCAAACTCGCGACATCACATGACGTCGCGTGACGTATCGGAGCTTTTTCGCCGTTGCCGGCAATGGGGTGGGCGCGGCTCCAGTATGATGAAACCAGCGGACGGGCCAGCAGTTTGACACCCCTGTACTAAGGCTTTATAGAGTGGTATTATACCTCACCTGATCTTGACTGAATCCCCCTGTTAATGCAATTGAGGATTGAAGGAAAGAAAACTGGAGCCAGAATTATCCAGAGATGGGGCAACAGAGCGACAGGCCTGCTTGAAGTCAACCAGGAACTAAGGAATGCTGGATTTGGACAAAAGCCCCAGAAATCCAGGTCTCCTTAACACTGTGTAAGGACCCAGGCACGCTTGGTACTTGTGAATGTGTGTGTTAGATGCTAAGTGGAGGGAGCTGTGTTGTGTGAATGGGAGCAAGAGCTTGCTGACCTATGACTCCCAACATTCTTGCCATTCACCAGGCTGGCCAGCAAACCTCAACCTCTAGACCAGGGTAGGCAACCTTGGCTCTTTTATGACTCGTGGACTTCAACTCCCAGAATTCCTGAGCCAGCATGGGGGAACTATGGCCCCTTCATGACTTGCCGACTTCAACTCCCAGAATTCCTGAGCCAGCATGAGGGAAACTTTGGCCCCTTCATGACTCGTGGACTTGAACTCCCAGAATTCCTGAGCCAGCATGGCTCAGCATGGAAACCTCTCCCTTCCCCTCAGCATGGCTGGCTCAGGAATTCTGGGAGTTGAAGTCCACGAGTTATAAAAAAGCCAAGGTTGCCTACCTCTAGCCTAGACCTAGGCTGCTTTATGACTCATGGACTTCAACTCCCAGAATTCCTGAGCCAGCATGGAGGAACTATGGCCATGACTCATGGACTTCAACTCCCAGAATTCCTCAGCCAGCATGGCTGAGCTTGTAGACCTCTCCCTTTCCCCTCAGCATGGCTGGCTCAGGAATTCTGGGAGTTGAAGTCCACGAGTCATAAAAGAGCCAAAGGTTGCCCACCCCTGCTCTAGACAGTCTTGGCCAGCCTACCTGGGCAGGTTGTTGTGAGGCTCTAAGCTAGGGCCAGCCAGTGCCCCACCTTCTTGGCAGGCTGCGAGCTGCCCTCTGAAGAAAACCTGGGGTTGAGCATCTCTGGACTGCAGGGCTCCCGTGGGCCGGCAGAGGGCGCGAAGACACGTCCTTTGCTGCCCCCTGGTGGCCGGTAGCGGCGTTGCTGCTCGGCTGTACGTCAAGGGCCGGGAAAGGCCGCAGCGCCTCCCTCAATAAAGATGGCGGCCGCGGCCTGTAAAGCGCTTCTCCGGCCTCCCCGCTGGCGCTTCCTCGGCAGCTGCAAAAGCCCAGGGGCCGCGGGAGTCGGAACGCGGGGGCTGGGCAGGTGGCCGGTGCGGGGAGCAACGGCTTCCTGGCGACGGGCCTTGACGGTGGGCCCTGGAGAGCGGCCGCAACAGGAGGACCGGCTCGTCAAGGCGGCAGCGGCGCAGTACCGGCTGGTGTTCACGTGCAAGGTGGGTTCGCGTCGGGCGCGCCGCTCCTCCTGAAGGAAGCCCACGAGTGGAAGCGGCCGAGTGCAGCGAAGCGAGGGCGCCATCTTTGTAGCGGGCGGAACGCAGGCAGGGCGCGGGCGCCATCTTTGTAGCTGCAGAAAGCAGAAGAGAGTGGTGCTGCGGGCGCCATCTTGGCTGGTGGCGGAACGGAGAGGGCGGCCGCGAGCGCCATCTTGGCTGCTGGCGAAACGGAGAAAGCGGCCGCGGACGCCATCTTGGCTGTTGGCGGAACGGAGGAGGCTGCGGGCGTCATTTGCGCCCTGTGCCATCAGCTGGGATGAAGGGATGAATTGTGCAATGGTCTAGGCCAGAGGTAGGCAATCTGGGCTCTTTTATGACTCGTGGACTTCAACTCCCAGAATTCCTGAGCCAGCCATGCTGAGGAGGAATGGAGAGGTTTCCATGCTGAGCCAGGTTGGCTCAGGAATTCTGGGAGTTGAAGTCCACAAGTCATAAAAGAGCCAAGGTTGCCTACCCCTGGTCTAGGCCAGGGGTCTTTAAGCTTGGGCCGTTTTATAACTGGACTTCAACTCCCAGAATTCCTCAGCCAGCGTGCCTGGCTGAGGAATTCTGGGAGTTGAAGTCCATAAATTATAAAAAGGCCAAGTTTGAAGACCCCCTGGCCTAGAACCACCTAAAGGAGGACCCAACGGGACCCGAGGCCCTCTTCACACAACCTGCTTACCTCTGGCTTTGCGCATCCCAAGATGTGGCTTGGTTCAACAGGCTTGTTTCAAATCAACAAATCTGGTCAAACTGAGCAGGCCATGCAAATGGGAGGGCTCCCCTTGCCGGTGAGTCACTGAGAGCTGGGCTGCTCCCCAAATGTAATAAAAGAAGTCATACCTAAACAAACGGATATCCTGGGATATGCCAGAAAACCACTTTGAAACATCCCTGATGGAACTTGGTTTCTGTTTCAGGTATGCAGGACACGATCTGCGAAAACTATTTCCAAGGCGGCTTACCATCATGGAGTTGTGGTAGTGAAATGCTCGGGGTGCAACAACCATCATGTGATTGCTGATAACTTGAGCTGGTTCTCCGACTTGGAAGGGAAAAGGTGAGTATGCGGTCTTTTGCCCTCCCGCTTTTCTGCTCTTCAGGGTTTGATGCTTCACCTGCTGAAGTTGGAATCAATTCCCGGGAACAGTTCAGAACTGACATGATGGACACACCAGAACTCATTAATCCGCAAATCTTTTTATCGTTTTGGCTTGCAAAACAAGCACCAAGCCAGGATTCCCTTATGTGACAAAATCCCACAGAAACCATTTTATTGCATTATTGTTGGCTGTTACTGCTCTTTCTCAACACGTGAAGGCTGAAAGAATAATGAAACAGATAAACAAAGGCAATCCATAAGATAGCCTCCATGTAATTAAAGTAAGGCAAAGAGCAAAAATTATTTCTGCTTGTTTTTTCTACGGCAAATGACTGTGCTGTCATTGTTACCTGGGGGGGGGTGTTTTTTCTTGCTTACAGTCTTGCATTAGAGGCAGCTATGATGTGCACAAAGCAAGGCTTTTGCTTCAGTCGCAGCTAATGCTCCCAGCCTTCTTCGTAACACACTTTTCTTTGTGAATTAGGAACATTGAGGAAATCCTCGCAGCCAAAGGAGAGAAAGTGAGGCGAGTAGCAGGCGAAGACACTCTTGAACTCTTAGTTGAAGACCCCAAATTGCTGGAACCTCTGATCAAAGGAGGAGAAAAAGATCCAGAGTGATCAGAACAGATGTCTTCAATCAACCCAGAAAAAAAAAAAACTCCCCTTAGTTCAGTGGTTCTCAACCTTTTTAATGCCGCGACCCCAAGTGGTCGTAAGTCGAGGACTACTCAACCGGTCGTAAGTTGAGGACTACTCAACTGGTGCAGCACCGTTTGCAGAATGGGACTTTTGGCGGGCTCAGCAGGGCAGAGACAGCCTGGACAATTCCTCTTGGCTTTTGAAAGCAAATAGAATTAGACTCTATTCAAGAGAGTCTATTCTATTGGCTTTCAAAAGCCAATAGAATAAAAGGGAGTAGCACAACTAAGGAAAAGGGGGGAAAAATGGCAGACTGCATTGTTTGGCGACCCCCGTGAAATGGTCATTCGACCCCTACAACAGTATCTACAAAATTGTGGGAAGATATTTGGGTTCAATGGAACACACTGATTAGGAAAAATGTTTTGGCAAAAAAAAAAAAAGGGCTAAAGCCAAAATTAAAAAATTAGATTTGATGGAATACTTAAAAGATTAAGCACTTGTTTGAATATGGTTAAAGAAATAAAATTTTGAATACAAATGAATCTTAGCTTAGAGGGATAAGCAATACAGTATTTTTTGCCTATGATATGAGAAACATAAAAAAGTTTGGGTAATTTATATGAGGGAAATGTACTAAATACTTAAATAAAATGGATTTTGAAGACTTGAATATGCTTAAAAAGAATGAAACATTGATTATAAATGTATTTTAGCTTAAGAGGGATGTTTTTTAAAAAAACAGTATATACTTTCTTTAGTTCTTTCTGTTTCAAGATATGAAAAATGTTAAGTGTTGGGATGGTTCATATGTAGAAAAGGATTTCAATATCTAAGTGTAATTAATTTTAAGAAAATTTTAATAGGTTAAAATATTTTCTTTGAAACATTGTGGGGAAAATAAATTTAAATGAAAACTCTAAAAACAGGATCTATGATAAGGAGATCTAGATGATTAATTAGAAAAGAAGCTTAATAATGAGATGGAGGTTATTTGTGAATACCTAACTGTTATCTTCTAAAATTATCAAGAAATGTACTAATTTAAGGCTGATAAAAGAGAATATTATTGGAAGGAGAGAAAATCAAGGAAAGTTATTATCTAGCATATGGAACTATAGAAACTAATTGTTATTTGTAAATACAAACCCAGACAACACACCGTTTACCAAATATTGATGGTGATATGTAAAAAAAACCAATAAACATATTTTCTTTAAAAAAAAAACATCTTGGCGGCATCACATTGGCTGGATTTGGACTGGTCTTGGGGGGAGGTGGGAAATGAAGGAAATGAGTGTTGTATTGTTGTATGGGAAACTTATGATTCCACCTCCAGCCAATGGCTGATGGGGCAACCACATCTGCCACTGAAGATGGGACCGTGTCCGGCCCCAAAGCAGTAGCAATCATTGTGGCCCCAGCACCAGGGGTGGCAGCTAAAACCATCCCTCCCTGCAGGATTAGTACTGGTGAGGGGGAGGGGTTATAAGAGACCACCAGTGGGAATGAAATTTAACAGGGATCCCCTTAGATGAGAGAATAGAAGGGGAATTCATCAACTTAGCAGATAACACTAAGCTTGCAGGAATATCCAACAACACAGAAGACAAGCTCTGGATCCAAAGAGATTTTGACAGACTTAAACAATGGGCCCTTATCCAACATCATGAAATTTAATGTGGAGAAAAGCAAGGTTTTACACTTAGCCATGAAAACCCAAAGGTACAAGTACAGATTGTGCGAAACCTGGCTCAAAAACAGTAACCGTTGAGAGGGACCTTGGAATCCTAGTGTACGATCACTTAAGGATGAGCTAGCACTGTTGCAGCAGCAGCCCAAAAAGCTAACACAATCCTTAATTGCATAAACAGAGGCATAGAATTAAAATCACATGAAGTATTAGTGCCGCTTTATAAAGCCTTAGTAAGGCCACACCAAGAATACTGCATCCAGTTTTGGTCAACGCATTACAAAAAGATGTTAAGAGTTTGGAAAAAGTGCAAAGAAAAGCAACCACGATGATTAAGAGCCTGGAGATTAAAACACATGAAGAATAGTTGTGGGAACTGGGTATGGCTACTCTAGAGATGAGAAGGACTAGGGGTGACATGATAGCACTGTTTCAATGTCTGACAATTAACCAGTGGGACAGTTTGCCTTCAGAAGCTGCGGGTGCTTCATCACTAGATGTTTTTCAGAATAGATTGAACAGCCACTTGTTTCAAATTGTATAGAGTCTCCTGTTTGAACAGGGGGTTGGACTAGAAGACCTCTAAGGTTCCTTCCAGCTCTATTCTTCTGTTATCATTCTTCTGTTGCTTTGTATGTACACCAAGAGCTTCTGCACCAGAAGCAAATTCCTTGTGTGTCTAATCACACTTGGCTAAACAAATTATTCAACTGAATTCAATTATTCAGACAGGTATTGTGAGTGAAGATCTTTCCACCCTCAGGCATATTCAGCGTTTTTTCTCCATGTGAATCCTTTGATGTTTGTAAAGGTTTTCTCTCCGATTGAAGCTCTTTCCACACTCCAGGCATTTATATGGTTTTTCTCCTGTGTGAATCATGTGATGTCTATACAGAGTTCCTCCATTATTGAAATGCTTTCCACATTCCAGGCATTTATACGGTCTCTCTCCTGAGTGGATCCTTTGATGTACATAAAGGCTGCACCTATGACTGAAGCTCTTTCCACACTCAAAGCATTTATAAGGTTTTTCTCCTGTGTGGATTCTTACATGCTTTTCAAGATCTCCATTCCTTTTGAAGGATTTTTCACATTCGGTGCATTGGTATTTTTCTCCCTCTTGGATTCTTTGCGGATTCCCAAGTTTTCCATCTGTTCTCTCACTGAAGCTCTTTCCACACTCCAGGTGTTTATGCTGTTTCTCTCCTAAGTGGATTCTTTCGTGTGCATAAAGGTGTCCTGTCTGACTGAAGCTCTTTCCACACTCCAGACATTTATATGGTTTTTCTCCTGTGTGAATCCTTTGATGTGCATAAAGGTGACCTGTCTGACTGAAGCTCTTTCCGCACTCCAGACATTTATATGGTTTTTCTCCCGTGTGAATCCTTTGATGTTTATGGAGGTTTCCAGCGTGAATAAACCTCTTTCCACACTCCAGGCATTTATACGGTTTTTCTCCAGTGTGAATTAGTTGATGTATATAAAGATTTCCTCTCTGACAGAAGCTCTTTCCACATTCCAGACATTTATATGGTTTCTCTCCAGAGTGGATTATTAGATGAGTGTAAAGATTTGCTCTCTGACTGAAGCTCCTTCCACACTCCGGGCATGTAAATAGTTTTTCTCCTGTGTGGATTCTTTGATGGTTTTCCAGATCTGCATTATTTTTGAAGTATTTTCTACATTCTGTACATTCGTACTTCTTTCCTCCCTCCTGGATTCTTTGGGGATTCCCAAATCTTCCCTCTGTTCTCTTCCTGAAGCTCTTTCCACACTCTAGGTGTTTATACTGTTTCTCTGCTAAGTGAATTCTTTCATGTGCATAAACATGTCCTGTATGGCTGAAGGTCTTTCCACACTCCAGACATTTATATGGTTTTCCTCCTGTGTGAATCCTTTGATGTGTATAAAGGTGTCCCCTCTGACTGAAGCACTTTCCACACTCCAGACACTTATGCTGTTTCTCTCCAGTGTGCATTGTTTGATGTGCATAAAGGTGTCCCCTCTGAGTGAAGCTCTTTCCGCACTCCAGACATGTATATGGTTTTTCTCCTGTGTGAATCCTTTGATGGGTACGGAGGCTTCCAGCATAAATAAACGTCTTTCCACACTCCAGGCATTTATACGGTTTTTCTCCTGAATGGATCCTTTGATGTACATAAAGGTTTCCTCTCTGACTGAAGCTCTTTCCACACTCCAGACATTTGTGCTGTTTCTCTCCTGAGTGGATCCTTTGATGTACATAAAGGTGTCCCATTTGACTGAAGCTCTTTCCACACTCCAGGCATTTAAATGGCTTCTCTCCTGAATGGATTCTTAGATGCCTTTCGAGATCTCCGTTACTTCTGAAAGATTTTCTACATTCCGGGCACTGATATTTCTTTCCTCCCTCCTGGATTCTCTGGGGATCCCCGGGTCTTCCGCCTGTCCCGATGGACCCTCCGCCCTCCAGGCCCGTCTCGGGGTCTCCGCCCGTTTCCTGCTCCCCGCTTCTCCCTCCGGGCGGCCTCCGTTCCCGGAGTCCCCTTCGGCTCATCCCTGCCGGGCCTCCCCCGCCGTCTCCTCCCGGGGCTGCTCCGCGGGGCCTCCTCTCCTCTCGGGCGGCGCCTCCTTCCGTCCTTCCTGCCTTCCTTCCTCTGCCGGGCTCGCCCGTCCTCCTGCAGGGGCGAAGGAGAAGCGGGTTACGGTTTCGCCCCCTTCCCCGGAGGGGAGTCCCAGCCTGTCAAGCCCGGGGAGGAAGGCCGAAGCCTCCGCCTGTCACGGAACTCTCTCCCAGCCTCCTCCCACACGACCAGGCCTCGGCCTTCTCATCTATCCCTTCACCGCCTCCCGGGACTCCCAGCATCCCCTGCGCCACACCTGCAACATCCGGGCTCCTCTATCGCCGATTCAGGAAGATCGCTCGTTCCCGTTTGGTTTCCGGAAGTGGAGGCGGGACCTCTCTGCGCCCTTTCCCTAGAAGCTCCGCCTCTTCCTCTCTGGAGAGTCCGCTCCCAGGCGTCCTCCTGCCAATCGCCGCCAGCGCCAGAGCGACCAATCCGGGTCCTCCTTCCTTGAATCAGCCACGATAGCGCCTGCGCAGTAACGAGGGTCATCCAGGCAGGCGCAGCTGAGGGGCGTTTCCGGGTCTGCGCCCCTCCTTCATCCGGGCTCTTTCCCTTGGCAGGGTGGGGGTGGGGGAAGTGGGGGTGGGCGCTTCCCCCCTTCGTCCTCCTGGGGGGCTCCAGCCAGGCTGCCCCCGAGGCCTCCAGGCAGCCGGGCCTCCTCTCTGCGCCTCCTGGGCCCCCCAAATCCCGCCTCCTTCCCCGGAACCCCTTTGCCAGACT